ACACTCAACCACTGAATCACATCCCCACCTCTTTTTATATTTTATTTAGAGATAGAGTCTCATTAAGTTGCTTAGAGCCTCACTAAGTTACTGAGGCTGGCTTTGAATTCGTGATCCTCCTGCCTCAGTCTCCCAAGCCTCTGGGAAGGTATGTGCTACCATGCCTGGAGTTGATGTTCATCTTAGAAATAAGGAAAATGGTACTCAGAAGTCATGTGATTAACCTAAGATCATATAGCTAGTAAGTGAGCTCAGAGGTGAATTCATGTTCTCTTTCCACTAAACTATGATTGGCAAAAATAATTGACTTTGAGGAAGGATCGGATAGTGTTTTCATTCCTTCATTCAACAACACCTATCAAACATTATATCTTTTTCTGTTCTGTTATCTTTATTTAATGGAATCTTATTGAACAGAAATTTGTAATTTTGAACTTGTCTTATGGTTTTGGTTTTTGGATCTTAAGAAGTTTTCTCTCTTGGGGCTGGGGTTGTGGCTCAGAGATAGAGTGCTCGCCTAGCATGTTGAGGCCCTGGGTTCAATCCTCAGCACCACATAAAAATAAAGAGATAAAATAAAGGTATTATATCCAACTACAACTAAAAACAAATATTTTTTAAAAAAGTTTTCTCTCACTATTAGGCAACAAAGTATTATCCTTCATTTTTAAAGCATATATTTAGTTTTATCTTTCATATTAGTGGTTTTAATCCATTGGAAACCTATTCAGGATGGTTTTATTTTAAATTGTGATTTAAACTGCCACACTTATCTCCAGAAATATTGTACACAATATTTTATTTTTTGGTACTGGGGATTGAACCCAGGGGTACTCATATGTTCTAATACACAGTATTTTGAAAGTCTTCATCAACACTTTGTTTTCTAGTTTTTTAAATTTTTGTCATGGGGAAAGTTGACATTTCATTTTTTAAAGTATTATGGACTAATAACTTTTCATATGTTCATTGTCTGTTTATCTTTCTTAGGCAAATTATGTAGAAATACAYTTTACCCTTTTTTCTTTTTCTTTTTCCTTATGTACTTACAGAAACACGTTGTATTTTGTAGATATTAAAGAATATAAGATTTTATTTTACTCTGTCATTTATGTTTTAACTTTGGTTATGTTATCTTTTGTTATCTATGTTTTTTTGTTTTATTCAGTCTTATAGCTTTTCCTTTATGGCTGTAATTCTTACTTTTTTTCAGCATCTTAAACTCTTTAGATTATATTGATTGATGTTTATCATGTTAGAAACTGAGGGATTTTAAAAAATATTTAATTATTAATTCAGTAGAAATACAATAATAAATGTGTAATATGTTAATACACTGCATCAGGCAGGACTCCATCAGAGAAGTAGAACCAGTAGAGTACATACATAAAGAGATTTATTGCAGGGAATAATTGACTTTTGCAATTGCAGAGGCTGTCTGGAATATACAAGGCAGGCTCTCAGTAAGTGCTGAAAGCCAGGTTTGAAGTTGTAGTCCATGGGTAGAATTTCTTTTTTTTTTTTTTTTTAAAGAAGCCTCACTTTTGCTCTTAAGGCCTTTCAAGTTATTGAAAAAGGCCCACCCCAATTATATAGGACAATCTCTTTTAAAGTTAGTTGTTACCAACATTGATATCCATGAAATCTCTTTACAGCAATACATAATGGTCAACTGAATAACAGGTTACCATACCCTAATAAGTTGATTCATAAAGTATTTATCACACATATTTTTATAGAAAATAGATTTTCAAAGCTTAAAAATGAGAGAAAAGATTGCAAATCTGTTTTAAAGTCTGATAATAGAAGACTATTGGATTCTAATGTGCTTTGCATTCAGTCTTTGGTAATATGTTTTTTTGTTGGAAAAATATGAAGACGATCTGACCTCACACAGATACGTATTTGGGAAAGTGAAGAATATTTTATAGTCTTTTCAGACAATTATAGATTTCCCTCTTTGATACTAAGCTAAGACTTTTTTCCCTACCATTCTTTTTAAAATTATTATTTTATGTATTTATTTTTATGCAGTGCTAAGGACTGAACTCAGTGCCTCACATGTTAGGCAAGCATTCTGCCACTGAGCTACAGCTCCAGCCCAACTAAGCTAAGACTTGATGAGTGATAAACTTTGAAACTGTRTTAGTGAATTTTTCCTATTTTAAATTAAAATCTATTTGATCTGTTTTGTACTTTTAGTGGACATTTACCTGTACATGATTTTATAATATTAAGCATTACTCATTTGGAAAATATTGGTTCACTGAGTTATAGAAGTCTTCTAAATGTGATATATTTTATTATTCACTCTCAAAAAGTCTCTCATCAGTATTTCCACTGATTTCAGTAAGAATTAAATAGTGGGAAGCATCAAACTCATGGTAGAAGATAGAAAAAATTCTGATTTTTCATTAAAAAAACTTTGAGTTTTATCATTGACAACAATTACTATCATGGTTTCACTGGAAGTGTAAAATCATAATTTGGCATTTATTCATTCAAGGAAAAATGGCCTTCATGGAAAAAGTAACTTTTTTTGTTCACAATTCAGTTATACAGGGTTTGTCCTTGAGACAATTTCCTATTATTCTCCCTCTTGCTTCTGGTGTTCCATCTACTTATTTTCTTTGCTTTTCCTCAAACACATCAGGTATCTGCCTACATCTGGACTTTTGTACTTGCTATAGTTCTCTAGTCTGATGTGCTGTCCCACTGGATATTTGCATGGTTCATTTCCTCATATCTTTAAGCCTAAACTGCAAATGTTACTTTATAAATGAAGCTTTACCAATCCCCCTACATATAATCATATTTGCTTCCATTGGTTACATTTCTGTTCCCTCATTCTGCTTCTCTTTTCTTTAGAGCACTTATTACATGGCATGTAATATATATTTGTTTGCTTCTTTCTTAGAATATAAGCTCCATGAGGGAAGGATCTTTCTTTTTCTTTACTTTTTCTCCTTCCTTCCTTTCATTCCTTTGTATTGCCATATCCTCAGCACCTAGAACTATGCCTGTAGTTCCTCCTCAGTAAATATTTGTGGAATGGATGAATCTTTACCTTTCATTTCAAAGGATTTTTTTTTATAAAAGGTAGCCACTAGATGGCAGTATTTTCAAATTTCATGTAATTAATGCCTGGGAGTAAAAGATAAGCTCTTTTTTGTTTGTCCTAAAGAAAAAATTCTTTGTGGTGAAGACTATAAGAAATTAATGTGATTAATATGAGGCATATAGAATACTACATTTGTATTTGTTTTTTTGAAATTTAAATTTTTTTGTTGAATAAAAATAATTTAGTGAAACTTACAGAGAATTGCAGCATATTGGTAGGTAGATAACCATTTGATATAGTTATTTAGAATGGTAACTGTGAATAAAGATACTTCATGTCCATTGACCATTATTCCTTCCAAAAAGACTTAACAGAATGATTAGCAGCAATAATTTTCAGAAATCTTCACCACTCAAGCCACTAGTTGAAATCTATCATGCTGCTAAAGAGCAGAAAATTATTCATGCCTGTCAGCCATTGAGTTATTATAACCAATGAGTTAGGTACTCTCCATCTTGTGTCTGATCAACTACTTTGAGAAACTTCCATGGTTCTGGTAGTTGTTGCCATACTATCCTAATAAAAATTGGTGAGTTCTGAGCATGAGAGCTTTTTAGATGTTATCTCTGACTAGCACGAAACTCAGCAAATAGTTGCCCTAGCTTAGAAACAAACAAAACAAAACATTTCTACCAAGCCCTCAGCATTTGCCTGTTCTGCCTTTGCTAGTGCCATTTCTTTTCTTCCCTCACTTACCTCATTTCCTTCTTCTATTTTAAACCCTATGCTTCTCTCAAGCACTTTTGAATGGTTGTGTGATTCATTTTGTTCTCTTTAAACCTCTTCTGCATAATTCTTACTCCTAAAGTATTTTTTGTGCTTTCTGTTCAACCAAATTATGTTTTTTTCTTTTCAATTTCGTCAACACTTTTTTAAAAAAGTTGTTGACTAGTTTTATTTCTCTCTTTTCCTGTTTCAGGGTTTTCTCTTTTGTTTCTGATTATTAATTATTATTATTATTATTTTGTTTATCTCTTTAAAATTATCAGCCTTTTCTTGCAACTCTAGCTGTTTTGGGTGAAAACACTGCTCTTTTGCACTTTTTTGTTTCTAAATGGAACATAAAATATAGGATGGTTTTAGTGTTTATTGTCTCTCCACTCTGTCCCTTTGCATGCTAAGTAGTATGACTGATAAAGTGTCATTTTAAATGGGAGACAGTTACACTTAAAGAGTTATATTTTTAACATTTGAAATCAGAAGCATTTGTAATTTCTCGTGATGCTCTCCATATCTTACTCTATCAATAATAATTGCCTATTTCCACTTGTCACTCTTCTTAGTTGGCCTGCTCCCCATATGTTAGATGTAGCTTTGTGGTCAGAATTCAGTGTTTAGAAATCACTTATTGTTTACTTAGAAACATTTGTTTATATAATAATTCATTTGTTTAGATAATAATTTTCTGTTTACCAAGAAACTATTGGATAGTATTTATTTGAATTAGATTTTAATGGAGAAAACATTTTTCTGGAATAAGATATGGAGACTTACTGATGTCTGATTATTAGGATGATAATATGCCATCTGTGTTCAAATGTACTTTTTTCAATTCAAGAAAATGAAAGCATTTTTCTTATTTAGTAATATATTGTAGTTGCTTGATAAAATATTGTTTATAAAAATATTCCTAGAAAAATAGATCTTGGAGACATTGTTGTTTGCTGAAAATTAGAGAAGACCTAAAAGCCCTCACTGGTCTCATGTAACCTCTAATGTAACCTCTGATAAGTGCTCAAAAGGAGAGCTTACATTCAAAACTTATATTTTAAGCTATTTTGCTTATGTCTGCTCTATCATTAAGGTTTATAAGCTTTCCAGTTCGTATTAGAGTCTCAGTAGTGTGGTTTAAATATATTGACTGTTTTTTTCCCTATAGACTGGTTGAAATAGCAGAATCCCGTTTTCCCAGATATTTTAACACTGAAGAAAAATTACTTTGGACAAGTAGTAAAGTTCATCTTTACCGGGAACTCACCTGTGATGAAGTTCTACAAAGGTGTGTTATCTAATATTTTGACAGTTTTGTAATGCTTTGAAGATGTTTTTTTCATGTTTTCAACTTCTGAGTAAGAACAAAAAATTTTTACATGTGCAAATTATGGGCAATAATTATTTCATTTTTTAATTTTCTGTAGCCTTTGAAGGACTTCTTTAAAAATGAAAAAAATCAATGAATAAAATGTTTTAGATATCACATAAGTGGTATAATGTCTGCTGTTTCATTAACAAATTACCTTGAAGTTTATCAGCTTAAAACAGCAAACATAAGCTGGGCATGGTGGTGCATGCCTGTAATCCCAGTGGCTTGGGGGGCTGAGGCAGGAGGATTGTGAGTTCAAAGCCAGCCTCAGCAATTTGGCGAGGCCCTAAGCAACTCAGTGAGACCCTTTCTCAAAATAAAATACAAAAAAGGGCTTGGGATGTGACTCAGTGGTTAAGTGCCCCTGAGTTCAATCCCTGGTACCAAAAACAAACAAACAAACAAAAAAAACCTCCCAAAACAACAATAATAAAACCACCCAGAAGATATATTATCTTACATAGTTTCTGAGGGTAAATATCTGGGAGTAGCTTAGCTGATAGTTTCTGGCTCAAAGTTGCTCAAAAGGTTATAGTCAAGCTGTTGGCCAGGGCTATAGTCATCTCAAGGTTCAATTAGGCTGGGAAATCTTACATCAGGCCCACTCATGTGGTTGTTGGAAGGCCTCTATTCCTCACCAAGTGGATATATCCGTAGACTCACAACACAGCAACCTGCTTCCTGCAGAGTGATGTGAGTGTGGGCAAGTGAAAGAGTACTCAAGATGGAAACTGTAGATGTTTATAGTCTACTGTTAGACATGATGTACCGTTATTTTGTCCTATTCTATTAGCCACATAGACCAACTCTGCTACAGTGTGGGAAGGAGCTACCCAAGGGTGTGAAATAGCAGGAGGTGGGAATGAGTGGGAGCCATTTTGGAGAATGGCTACAATAAGTAGTGTTTCTCTAAAATTGGAACTTTGGCAGTTTCATGGGACAATCAAGGAATTCTGAAACTAAATGAAAACATTTTGCTCTATATCCAGAAAAGTGTAATATGTGTAGAAGAGCTGAAAATAAATGATGTTAAGAGATTTTTGCAGTCATCAATGTAACTTTAGGAAGAATAATTTGCAATTTTTGTAACAATTTTAAATTTTTGATTAACCCTCATAACAATCTATTTTTATGTTATATCTTAAATTTTTCATTATTTTACAAATTCTGCTTTTATAGGATTGAATCTTTGGAAGAAGAAATTATTTCAAAAGGAATTAAACTTGTGATTATCGACTCTGTTGCTTCTGTAGTCAGAAAGGAGTTTGATACACAACTTCAAGGCAATATGAGGGAAAGAAACAAATTCTTGGCCAAAGAAGCATCCCTACTGAAGTATTTGGCCAAGGAATTTTCAATCCCAGTAAGTTTTTCTTTATCTCTCCTTTTTCTTTCTTTTAAGTTTACTGATATATAATACCAAGTAATAAAAATAGAAGAAAACATAAAACAGATGACTTTTTTAAGGTAGCACAGTTTAATTACTCTAGCAAATGTCAATATTTTCTTAAATTAGTTCATCTGCTGAGATTATTTTACTCTTTTTCATAATTTGAGATTGAGGCAGATTTAAATGTTTTTAAAAGTTCCTGTAGTCACACTTTCCCCCACTTCTTTTACTCATTGTGTGTTTTTTAAAATATTTTTTTTAGTTGTAGATGGACACAACATTTTTATTTTTTTTTAATGTGGTGCTGAGGCTCAAACCCAGTGAGCTATAACCCCAGCCCCTCGTTGTATATGTTTTATATCACATTTGTTACACTGAGATAACTTAGGAAGTAAAACTGAATGCAATTGCCTGTGCCTATTTCTACAAAGTTTGTTTTACTATAGTAGTTGTCACTTTTGTAAATATTTTACGTTCAGATACAGTGTTACTGTGTTCAGTGCTGTTTTGACAGAGTAGGATTTGGTTTACTTCAAATGACCAGAGTTCAGCCATTTGGGGATGGTTAGAGTGGTAGTAATGATAATGCCAGTAAGAAAACCTCCAAAGATTACTTTTGGTATGACTTTTCAGTTGTGGGCATTGTGATCAGGAAATCTAAAGATGAGGGGGATATTGCAAGGGTTTGTGATGTATAAACTGTATCCTGGGGCTGGGGATGTGGCTCAAGCGGTAGCGCGCTTGCCTGGCATGCGTGCAGCCCGGGTTCGATCCTCAGCACCACATACCAACAAAGATGTTGTGTCCGCCGAGAACTAAAAAATAAATATTAAAAATTCCCTCTCTCTCTCTCTCTCTCTCTCTCTCTCTCTCTCTCTCTCTCTCCCTCTCTCACTCTCTCTTTAAAAAAGAAAACAAACAAACAAAAAAACTGTATCCTATAAGTGTATACTAAATTACATTCCTACCTGCAGTGTATGGGAGACTTTTACTTGTTCACAGCCTCAGCAACATTTGGAATTGCTAGGCTTTCAGTTTTAGTCATATCTCATCTAGACAGAAAATTCCTTACCCTGAGATAAAACTGGGTTATGATTTTATTAATTTTAGATTTGTTTTTGGAAAATTAAAATCTTGGATCTTTGCAGCATAAAGAATGTGTAAATAGGGGCTGGGGATATAGCTTAGTTGGTAGAGTGCTTGCCTCACATGCACAAGGCCCTAGGTTCAATCCCCAGCACCACCACCAAAAAAAAAAAAAAAGGATGTATTAAATAGTATGAGCCACCACACAGCTTTTGAGATTTATAAAGGCAAGGGACAAAATACAAAAAAAAAAAAAAAAAAAGTAGAGGTACAAAAAGTTCTACATAATTGAATGGCTTTTTAAACCATAATTTGGATTAAAGTCAAGTACTATAAAGTTTATCGTGGGTGGTGCTCATGTTTAAATTTTTCTTATCATTGGTTAAAATGATAAATTTGAATTCTAGTTTTCACTGATTAAGGAGAAGGTAATTTAAAAATATTTCATAGAAGATATTTGATTGAATATAAGTTTATATGCTTATTTTTATTAATTCATATTGTTGCTTTACCTAAGCTTGTTTAAAATATGAAAATTCACTTTTTAAAAGTTTGTTTCCTTTTAAATAGTAATCGTAGGCTAATGCTTTTCAGTTTTTTTAACTGAGCTGATTTATCTTCTTTAGTGACAAAGGCACTCTGCTTTTCTTTGTTTTTAATAGAGGCCTCTGAAAAAATAGGTACTTAGTATCCCAATATTTCTGTCTTTGACTTGTTTTTTCTGTTATAAATAAAGGCAAAATATACAATGCATAACTATGTAACTACATAGTGTGTATATGTGTGTGTGTGTGTATGTGGGTGTGTATATATATTATGTATACTATTATATAATACAATGCAGTGTTAGCTTTTGTGACAGGTAACTGCTGGTTTTAAAAGGCTTTTGAAAAATACTTCCTATAGAACATGTTAGAATTTTTCTAGACTACCTCWTTTAAGTGAAAAATCATGAAGTTTTAAGCTTTTGTTTATACTTTGAATAAGGGGCTTCATATGGAACTAAATTTCTTAATATGACATATTATTTTTTAGTTCATTATGTTTTTCACATCAGCAAATCATATGCATCTTTGCATTTCCTCAAACCTACCAACACTCTTCCTTTACCTGAAGTATTCCTCCTCTAAATAGTAGCATAGCTTAATCTTTCCTGAGGACTTGAGAACTAACCAGGTAGATGTTAATCACACCTATTATTCTTACTATGCTTTTTGTTTTTTGATGACAGTTTTTACTCTAGCATGTTATATAGTATGTTTATTGGTTTATTATGTGTTCCTTAGTAGACTACATAGAGTCTACTTTAACTTTTATTCTTAGCACCAGGAATAGCACATAACACACAGTATGCATTTAATAAATACTTTCTAATGTATAAATCATAGGCACTGCTTCTCTTCTTGAACTTGACTACCTATTAGAGTTTAACTTAAATTTTAATATTTGCTTTTAACTCTTTTTAAAATTTTTTTTTTTTTTTKGGGTACCAGGGATTGAACTCAGGGGCACTTGACCACTGAGCCACATCCCCAGCCCTATTTTGTATTTTATTTAGAGATAAGGTCTCACTGAGTTGCTTAGCACCTCGCCATTGCTGATCCTGGCTTTGAACTCATGATCCTCCTGCCTCAGCCTCCTGGGATTATAGGCCTGCGCCACTGTGCCCAGCTTTAATATTGTTTTTTAATAATTTTTTTATATGTTTCAATTAGTTATACATGACAGTAGAATGCATTTATATACTTCAATATATCATACATAAATGGGGTCTAATTTCTCATTTTTCTGATTGTACATGTAGAATCACATTGGTAATGTGTCATACATGTGCATAAGGTAATAATATCTGTTTATTCTACTGTCCTTCCTATCCCCATGTCCCCTCCCCTGCCTTCATTCCCCTTCACCTAATATTGATTTTAATAGTGATAAAATGTAGTTTTAGGTGGCAAAATATCTTACTATAATCAGATTACAGTGGCATCTTGTAGGATGGAAAAAGAATTCTTAAGATTCTTAGATTTTGAAAAGATTTTAGACATCTAGACAGTATTAGAGAGCCAGGCAGTAGGAGAAAAAATTCAAGTCTAGTAGAACTATCATAGGTAAATGTCTGATGACTTCTGAGAAAGATTGGGTGGGATGCTAGTGTATTCCAGCATGATTCTGGCTGTGGATCTGAGATGGTGGGTTGGGYTAGGACTGTATCATTGCCATACCATTTTGACACACTCCATACCTCTTTTCATTCAAGTCAGAATAAAGAGTAAAGCCAACATGGGTGCTCAGATAAGCATTTTATTGAATTTTTACATTGCTCTACAATGGATATGCTATATTTTTATAATATGGGAAATAAACCTAAAATATAATTTGTATTTAATTTTGCTTATGACATTGTATATTTGCTTATGTACTCCTTATGTATGCAAGCATGCCTGTAGTACTGTGTGGAGACTTCAGTCTTCTTAGTACTTATAAGAGTTAGTAGTTAGAAAGTCAGTAAAGATATAGAAGAACAGTAAAGATATAGAAGAACTGAATTTTATAATTGATCAACTTGATCTTACTGACATTTACAGAACATATATATCACTCAGTGCCAGCAGAATATGCATTCTTTCTAAGTACACATGGATATTCACCAAGATACACTATTTTCTGCATTGTAAAACAGATCTCAACAAACTTAAAATCTTCAAATTGTACAAGTTTTAACCCCTTGAGAGTTAAAGTAGAAATAAACAACAGAAGTACCAGGAAAATCTCCAAATATTTTGAAATTAAATACAAATTTTCTTAGCACCAGGAATAGCACATAACACATAGTATACATTTAGTAAATATTTTTTAATGTATAAATCATAGGCACTGCTTCTCTTCTTAAACTTGACTACCTATTAGAATTTAACTTAAATTTTAATATTTGCTTTTAACTCTAACTTTACATTTTTTTTTCAAATCAGCAAATCATATGCATTTGTGTGTCAAAGAATAAACCACAATAGGCAGTGTTTGTCAGTTCAGAGATGGTGCTGGGAAGGCACCAGAGGAGTCTGTGAGCAGACCTCACTCTTCATTTCTTCCTAGTTTTCCCCAATTTGGGCTAATGCCTAAAATTGTTCTCACATTATGTTGTCACTTTTCTGAAGTTTATTGTTCTTTGTTAAAACATTAAAACATTTCATCCCATGAAAAAAATAATCAATTAATTAGGTAATTACAATTATTATTACTTTTGCTGTGCTGGAGATCTAATCTAGGGCTGAATGCATGGTAAGCATGTGCTCTGCTATTGAGCTACTCCCAGCCCTGAGAATTCTATTCTTTTACATGGCTATTACTAAATACTCTTCTAGCATGGAGGCAAGTGAAATTATCATGTTTATTGATGAAAAAAATATCGATGATAATGCTGKTTTTTTTTTTTCTTGTCAGTGGATAGCAGTTTGTTGTTGTTTTTTGTTGTTTGTTTTTAAGAAGGTCTGGCCTTCTCTTCAGTTCTCATCACACTCTGGGGCTCTCAGTTACAGAAAAGAAACATAAATGGAAAGGTCACTAGATTAAGGCCAACTCTATCCTTCTCTCCCCCAGAAGCAGCTCTTCTGGGGAAGAGGGAGAAGAGTGACATCTGCACTTGACATCTCCCTTGGCACTGGTATGTGGATCCCCTTAACTGCAAAACCCAAGGCTTTGACTTGCAGATTCAGCATCTATAGGGAGGGATTTCAGAAACAGGAGTCAAAATTGGAAGACTGGGGTTATAACTTAGTGTAGAGTACCTACTTGACTCTACCCCCAGCACCACCCACAAAGAAAAAGAAGAAAGAAAAAAGTTGAAAGACAGAATGTGCTAACCCCAGCCAGCTAGACAGCATTTTAAA